TTAATACATCAGGTAATAAGTACATTTTTCTACTGCAGAGCATCATCTTTCCCTCATTCTTACCTATTCCCTCCTTCCCCTCTCCACTGAGAAATTGCATCATTCACTTTCCTCAATGGCCTGTGCTGCCACTGTGCACCACTGCTGCACATTTTCACTGTTTTTCCTCTGATTCTATGCCCTCCCTCCCCTCCCCCAACATGTGCATGTGTACACACCTAGTGTAAGGTAAAGAACACAGAGCCATCAGGAAATGAAACAACAAATTAGAAAAAAGCCCTTTATTTCCATATCTTTGGAGTTCCTTTCTACATACATCTGAAGAGGTGCTTGGGTATTGCACTTTTGTGATTCTCTCCTAAGACTATCCTCTGTTGGTCTCACAGTATGTGAGTTTCTAGAATTCTGTGTAATTTGTCCTATCCCAGTGCATTTCAGATCTAACTTCTGCGTAACAGGAGAAGCAGCACTGGTCTTGGCTTACCTCACTTAGCATGATTTGTTCAGTTTCCATCCATTTCCCTGCAAATGACATTATTGTATTCTTTCTAATGGCCATGTAAAATTCCATTATATATAGGTACCACATTTTTTTGGATCCACTCCATATCTTAGCTATTGTGAAAAGTGCTGCAATGAACATGGATGCCTTGAACATTCTTATGCACCGTGAAACCCAAGTGCACCCTGACTTACCGATTCTGTTCACCCTCTATCGAGATACCCTACTTAACAACTACAGTTACTTTGAGGGTACATGAAATCAAAATAACCTTTAAAACAGGAACAGACCCAGTAAACTACTCTGAAGAGAAGCTTGGCAAATGGCTGACTGCAAACCAACATCAGGCAGATGAGTGTATAGAGCGCATGGTTTCTATTCCTTCCATCGCACCACTTCCTGTCTACTTACCCCCTAGACAAAGGCAGAACTATCATTCTGATTAAGAAGAGAGGATGCGCAGGTAGACCCTGCCTTCTCCACATGGTGCATGCTCTGTGTTCTCCCTTGGTTCTCAGAGCCTCAGCTTGTTCCCCCAGAGAACAGGGACCACACTCCCAGAGCTGCTGTCAGAGTTAAGCACCTGACACAGTGTAGCGTATACATGTGTGCACTGCCTGGCCCCACGTAAACTACATACAGCTACTAGATAACTGCAGATCACAAGCTCTACGAATTAATAGGACAGTGATAGTTTATTCTAACCTGACAGGAAACCAATTCACGAAGTGCTTTGAGAACGTTTAATACAGGTGGGGGGGGGGGGTAGATCAACAATACAATGATAATGGAGTGAGGAGAGGGAAAATGAACACAGAGAATAATGGAACAACTTACTCCATGATCCTGTAATCCACAAAAAAGGGAGAAACGCTTAGCTGCAACTCAGTCTGGTCACAACCTAGCCTCTTCCATGTAGTCAGTAACATGCTTTCACATCTCAGTCCAGTCACCAGTCACCGCCCACCCCTTTCCCCACCCACTGAAACCCCAATAGTCAGTTCCCATGTGATGCCTTCCCCTGGTAGCAGAGACTATCACACGTCCACTCTAGGTTCCCACACCTAGTGCTTAAACTTAAATTTAGAGCATGTATTTCATGCTATTAGATGGCGTTTCTCCCATTCTTCTTCCTCACCAGATTTTTAGGCGTGTTACCACTCAAGCATAAATGTCTACCAGTGATCAGCTGGTTAATTAGAAATGGAGTCTTCAGGACCTTTTTGCCCCAGCTAATCCTCTGGGTCTCAGCCTCCAAAGTAGCTAAGATGATAGGCATAAACTACTGGTACCCACCTCTTGTAACCTCCTTTTAATCTCATTTCCCAGAAGAAACCAAAGTTCATAGTTTGATTTGTATTTTGTCTAAAAACCAGTGCATAAGCCGGGCGCTGGTGGCTCACGCCTGTAATCCTAGCTACTCAGGAGGCTGAGATCTGAGGATCACGGTTCAAAGCCAGCCTGGGCAGGAGAGACCGTGAGACTCCTATCTCCAATAAACCACCAGAAAACCGGAAGTGGCGCTGTAGCTCAAGTGGTAGAGCGCTCGCCTTGAGCTGAAGAGCTGAGGGACAGCGCCCAGGCCCAGAGTTCAAGCCCCATGACTGACAAAAAAAAAAAAAAAAACAACCAGTGCATAGGGGAGAAAATAAGGCCTTCTCTAAAAAAAAACCAGTTTAAAAAAAAAACAAAACTTGTGTGGAGGTGTGGCTTAGTGGTACACACACCAGCCTAAGTAAGTTTTGGGCTTCGAGTTCAAATCTCAGTCAGTACCACGAAAACAAACAAAAAACACTATCATTTGGTTCCATAAAGCATGACAAACTCTTTTTATTTTTTTAAAAAAAAAAGTGTTTCTTAAGAAACAAGACTTTACTAGTAGTCTGACAAATTTTCTCCCGTACATTTTGAGTAAGAAGGAATATTAGTGTATTATTAATCAAAACATCACGGTAATTAGATTTTTGGTGGGGGAAGGGCAGTACTGGGCTTGAACAAGACCTAGATACTGTCCCTGAGCTTCTTTTTTGCTCAAGGTTAGCACTCTACCACTTGAGCCACAGTGCCACTTCCGGCTTTTTCTGTTTATGTGGTACTAAGGAATCAAACCTAGTGCTTCATGCATGCTAAGCAAGCACTTTACCACTAAGCCACATTCCCAACCCCAGTAATTGGATTTTTAAACTGGGACAAAAACTGAAAGTATACAATTAAAATATGCCAGCATATGTGACTTAACACAAGGTTAAATTGATACAGTAAGTAATGAAGTTGTCAAGTTGTAACAACCCTTAAATTGAAGGCAGACACAGAAAAACAAAAATTCTGGACCATTTAGATTAATTCTATAAATATCACATAAATGAATTCAAAGTTATAAGTAGCATCAATAGTGTGAGTAATATCTAATTAATGCAATTAGCTATCTACCAAACTGTTACTTTAAAATTAATTTTCCAAAAACCTTCATAACTGTGTTCACACACACACAATATCTTACACTAGGAAAAATGCAAGAAACATATTAAATTTATTTAATTCTTATTAATGAGGTTCTAAAATAGATAACCTACTTTTAAGGACATCTGGGTTATCCGATGTATTATCTGTCTGCATCGGAAGGAGCAAACCCTGACCACAAAGTTATCAATGTGCTTTGTAACTATGCACTCAGCCTTGAAAAGATGGATGTGGAAGTAAATGGCAGGAGAGTCCAACAAATAGAGCTAGGCTGTGCAGGAGCGGAATGTGACACACTGATAGGGACACAGAGGTTAACATTCAACTTGCTCCTGGTGCTGGAAACTGATAGGTAGTATACGTACACAAGTGCCAAAGTCACAGGATAACCTAACCACAGGTGAAACTGGAGCTATCAATGAAAAGTTGAGAATACCATTTCAGATAACAGACCAAACTTATCAGTTATCCTTAACAATTCCACTATAAATCTATAAACTACTCAAGACATCATTCTTCATATCCTCGAAATCTTAAAATAAGGATTTACCCTTTATTTACTTATTTTTGTTTTTTCAGCATTGGGTACCAAACCCAGAGCCCTGTGCTCGCTAGGCAAGAACTCAACCAGTAAATCACAAAGATCTCCAACCCAGAACACAGGTTTTCAAAATAAAGAAAATAGGCAGGAAGCAAAGTAGGTCATTACCACATCTACTACCACGACTTGGGAAACTCATTTTTGTCATCCTTCTTAAATTTTATCATTTCATAATATAATAGCATTTTTGATGGTTCTTGCATTTTGTTAAACTTAGCTAAAGCGGTGAAAAGCAGTGGGTTTCAGTCTTCAGAGACTATCTATGACATAGGTCCTGCATGCTTATCCCAGACAAACTTAGAAGTCTATGTGTGTTTTTTTATAAGAATGAGCTAATGCCAGTGCCAGTGGCTCATGCCTATAAACGTAGGTCTTTGGAGGTTGAGATCTGAGGATGATGGTTCCAAACCAGCCCCATTTGGATCCAGACCAGGTAGACAAATCTTTGAGACTATTATCTCCAATTAAAATCAAGTTGTAAAGCCAGGTGAAGGTGGCTTACGCCTGTAATCCTAGATACTCAGGAGGCTGAGATCTGAGGACTGCTGCTCAAGGCCAGCCTGGGCAGGAAAGTCCATGAGACTCTTACCCCCAGTTAACCACTGGAAAACCATCAGCAGTGGTGCCGTGGCTCAAAATGGTAGAGTGTTAGGCTTGCACAAAAAAGCTCAGAGATAGTGCCCTGGCCAACAACCAACCAATCAATCAAGTTGTAATGTACCAACCTTGAGTGAAAAAAGTTGAGTGAGAGCAAGAAGCCCTGAGTTCAAGCCTCAATACAAGCACAAACAAACAAACAAATGAGTAATGGTTGATGAATAAACTATCTGATATGAAGAAATTTACAAAGAGATTATTCTAGCACATAAAACACATAAATCACAGCTTTTCCCTAATGAAAATAAAGTCAAGCATGCCTTTTTCATCTCTGCTAGTTAATCTCTATGATAGAAGAAAATTTTAAATTAAATAAAATGACATCAAAACAGTTGGCTGGGCACTAACAGCTCATGCCTATAATCCTTGCTACTCAGGGAGCATAAATCTGAAGGATCCCAGCTTGAGGCCAATGGAGGCAGAAGCCTCCACCAAAGTCCATGGCATGGCTCAAGTGGTAGAGGGCCGGCTGTGAGCATGAAAGATGGGCGAACACAACGCATCAAATTCAAGCCCTGGAACTGTCCACCCTAACCCCTGCCAAAAAGAAAAGGAAAAAGGAAGGAAACTAAGAAAGTAAAAATAAATGAACACCATATAACTCATCATATAGATACCACCGAATATTCCAAAATAGTTTGTTAAAATCTTTACATAGAAACGAGATTTACATGAGATGGTTACTAAATACTAGACAAAGAAAATAATCAAATTTCAAAACACTGCCTTCTTTTTTTATAGTACAATTCATAAAATAACCTTGGGTATAGAAAGACTCACCATCTGTATGGGTTTCTTGTGGAGATCTCGTTCAGTCACCAGTTTTTCCTGGTCAGTGACATAAAGGCCTTTCTGTGCTAAAGCCTGGATTACAGCATCGTGGCCCAAAAGCGGTTTCGCCGCGTCGCTCTTGAGAATGAGACTCCCAGCACGACAGTACAGTTCAGCCGACAGGAGCAAGTTCACAACGGGTGGTTTGATGTGTTCCTGGTCATACTGATCCGTATAAAATGGTTCTCGAAATTCCTCTGGCACGTTTTCTATAAAGATTAAGGGGGAAAAAAACCTATTACAAGATGTTTATAAAAGAAACTTAAATTATTATTCAATATCACAGAATTAAAGAATCCTTCTAAAAATAATTATGTCCCTTTAAGTTTTGAAAAAGTAGGATTTTTTGGACCTTGAATCCCCAAAAGGGGACTGTCTGTGATGCAAACATGAAGTTTTCTGAGCCTAGTGGCTCAGAATAAATGATCAGATTCCTAACAACTAATTTCAGTGAATAACTACACATGTAGGCAGTCAACAGAAAAATGCAACACAGCAGCTATTTCAGGAGACTGGCAGGCCGTGCCACCTGAGAAGATGAGCTCCTTACCAAAAGCCTTAATTGTTACAAGGTGTAAACTGATTACCGAGACTGTCTGTGCCTGTCTGGAGACCCCTTAGTCTCTCTCCCCTCCTGACAAAGCTTAGCCCAATAAAGTTATGAAGGACTCTTGGAGTTCATATTTAGATGAGCTCTGCTGTTCAAGGTTCTATTCAGCTGGTGTGGGGGAATATACCTGTAATACCAGCACTTGGGAGGAAAAGAAAAGGGGATCATAGGTGTAAGGCCACCCAGCTACACAGCAAGATTCTTTCTCAAAAAAAAAAAATCCTTTTTAAAGTCTTATATTCACTGCTGATGACCATGAAAGTCAGAGGTGGAAAAAGATGATTTTATAGGAACTGAAGTTTGGTGGCCGTAGTATACACAGGAAGCCAAGGACATAGACTGCTGAAGACAAAGGGAAAGTGCCCGGGAATGCATCAGGGAGGTAAAGGCGGAAAGCAGAGGTGACGGGGCCTGGATTAGAAGGGAAACCATATCAGCATTAAAAGAAAAAGAACATCAAAGGTAGTGCCAGTCTAGAAACAAGATCCTAAGCTTAGTTTTAGGCATATTGAATTGGAAATGACAGCAAAAATATCCAAGTGAAAATATCCAATAAGTAGCAGGAAATATAGGGCTCAGTTAAAGAGGTCAGAGTGGAGGTATCAATTTGGGATTTTAGAGACAGCTAAAAATACCCTCCTTTAATAATTGAAAACACTTTCCTTCCTTCACACTGCATTACCCAGTAGTGAGCTGAGTTTAAACTTAATAGAGTGGCTTCAGTATTGTAAACTGCGGAAGGTAACGCTGGTACACACTTCTAATTTAGTATCATAGGAACTAAGAAGAAGCTATCTAGTAGAAAACCATGGAAGAGAAACTGTTTTAAGACAACTATTACAATGTACAAAAGGTTTTCTATTTCCTGTATCAATTAAAAATGATTAACATAGTTGATCTTGTAACTAAACAGTTGTACAAATCAAAGGAAGTGCTCATTTTCCAGATCACAATTTATCTACCCTACTCATGCAGATATATAACATGAACTTACTGTGTTTACATTCATTTTCACACATGACCTTGATATCAACTTGCTGAAATATGCAGATAATATGAAAATAAATAATGAGAATATAAAGTTGGGTATGGCAACTTATGCCTAAAATCCTAGGTGCTCAAGAAAGGAGAGAGAGCCAGACCCTATCTGAAAACAAGCCAGGTATGGTAGTATGTGTCTGTAATACTGGGTAACTTGGGAGGTGGAGGCTGGAGGTTCACATTCTGAGGCCTGCCTGAGCAAAAAGCAGAAGACCTTATCTGAAAATCAAAGTTAAAAAGAAATGAGGCCATGGCTCAAGTAATAAGAGAGCTGCCTACAGCCAAGCCCTAGAGGCTCATGTCTCTAATTCCAGCTACTCAGGAGGATGAGATGTGAGGATCATGGTTTAAGGCCAACCTGGGCAGACAAATCGGTGAGGTTTTTTCCTTCTTTTTGGGCAGACAATACTAGGGCTTGAACTCAAAGCCTGGGCACTGTCCCTTAGCATTTTTTGCTTAAGGCTAACCTCAAGGCTAACACGCTACAGATCTACTTCTGGTGTGTGTGTTTGTATTTGTGTGTGTGTGTGTGTGTTTAATTGGAGATAAATTAGTCTCACAGACTTTCCTCTCTGGTGGGCTTTAAATGGTGAACCTCAGATCTCAGTCTCCAAGCAGCCAGGATTTACAGATGTGAGCCATTACACTTTTCAAAGACTCTCATCTCCAATTAACCAGCAAAAAGTCAGAAGTGGAGGTGTGGCTTGAGTCGTAGAATGCTAGGCTTGAGTGGAAAAGGCTAATAAAGAGCTCACTATGTTGAAGTCCCAGTACTTAAAAGTGTGTGTGTGTGTGTGTGTGTGTGTGTGTGTGAGAGAGAGAGAGAGAGAGAGAGAGAGAGAGAGAGAGAAAGAAAGAGAAGAAAGCATGAGTAAGAACTTGAGTTCAAACCCCAGTATTGGCAAAAGCAGTAAGAAATGAATATACATTTATATTTTCTAAGGATCTTCTATACGTCAAGTTTTGTCCTAAAATATGAATTCTGTCACTTAACCTTAACAATCCTTTTAATCCCCACTTAGATAACCCCAGAAAGTTTAACTTGCCCAAAAATGAAGAGTTATAAACACAGCTCTATACACTCTAGCTAGACTCAGAAATGGCAATGGTGTCCCAAGGTAGAAGACATAAGAGCCCTGGGCTGCCTCTGCTTGACTAAGGCGTAGCTATAACCCTAAGTTGTGAAAGTGTCGGCTCTTAAAGGAGCCCATTAAAAACCCTGCACAAACATAATAAACCTCCCCAAAAGACAAACTTCATATTGAACACTGAAAAGTAGGTCACTTTAAAAGTAAGTCTTCAAGAACTGACATACTTAGGAGAAGCTTCAAAAACATCTTCACATTTTACCAATAGTACAATAGTATTATCTGTAAAAACAATTTGGAATTCTACCACATGTTAAAAGATAAACTGAAATAGAATATTAAAAATAAGCAAGCAAAAATAATAAGAAGTTTTACTCTTTTCTTCTTCCAGAGTAAAAAGGTAAGAAATTAATGATTACAGAATGGCTAAATGATACACCATTGCTAGAATTGTGAAGGATAAGAGACAAGTTTTTCTTGTACACCAGGACTTAGGCAGGACCTCTCTTAAGTATGTTATTACAAATCATGATGAGATCAAAGTTTTGAAATTAACACACCTGAAATGCTTGAGATACAGGTAGAGGGATAAGACATACTGCTGTTTGGGCAATACTGTATAAAGCTGGGTTAGCTACCAGTTTGGAAGTGGTACTGATTTCTTACTTCAACTGAAGGGACAGGTGCTAAGAGGGAAATGTATTTAGAAATATTACTGCACTAAATCATAGGAACATCACCTTACTTTTCAAATCTAAAGAATCTTTCTAAAATAATCACTAATAGAAGACATAAAGTTCAAGAACTCCAACTGAAAGGAAACCAGATTCGAAATTTGATATTAACAGAAAGATATAGTCAACAATAACATCAAAAGAAACACTCAATCCCAGTAACCAAAGAAAGTTACAAGACATTCTTTGCCTACTTAACTGGGAGGGGAGCGAAGCTGGGCACAATGGTATGTACTTGACATCTTAGCTGTGGCAGGAAGCATAAATAGAAGGATAAAAGTCCTCAAGGACAGCCCAAGCCAAAATACAAGATCCTATCTCAAAACAAGAGAAAAGGCTGAATGTGTGGTTCAAGGAGTAGAGCACCTTGAACCCCCACTGAAAAGGAGGTACCAAATGAATACCTTTGTAATGTAACCAGAAGGCAAGGCCATGTCTGTCCTTACTCACTACAATATGGACTCTCAGAACCTAAATAATTGCCTAGATACATGAGAAGCACTCAATTTCTGGTAAATGAATAAAAATGTTTCTTTAAAAAAAAGGTTCTTCGCTGGGTACTGGTGGCTCAGGCCTGTAATCCTCGCTACTCAGGAGGCTGAGATCTGAGGATCGTGGTTCAAAGCCAGCCTGGGCAGGAAAGTCTGTAAGACTCTTATCTCCAATAAACCACTAAAAAATCAGAAGTGGCGCTGTGGCTCAAGCGGTAGAGCTCTCACCTTGAGCTGAAGAGCGTAGGGACAGTGCCCAAGCCCAGAGTTCAAGCCCCATGATCAACAACAACAAAAACCAATTAAATAAAAGTTCCTTTCTTCCCTTTACTTCTTTACTAAACAATATGTGAAGTACCACAGCATTCCTGAGTCTACAAATTATCACCTACTCTCCTACATCACCCCATGAGACCCAAAGCTCCTCTTTGGAGTTACAGATCTTCATAGAAGCTATCAATTTAACCAACTCTTCATTTGGATGCTACACAGAAACCTCCAACTCCAAATTGGGAGCCAGGCTTCTCAGTGAGCAGAGGAGTTACAAATCAACAAAAAGAAAGGTTAAAAGGAATTCCTCAGTGCTGCAGGAAACCGGAAGTGTCCATATGAATACATTGTGTTTACAATATATCTAAACATAGCTCCAGAAAGACAGATGTAGCAAGTTATATCTGCAAATCTATGTGATCACTAGCATTGTCTACAAAGTGGCACTCCAAAAGCAATACACCTAGTATCCATTATCTTGGTTTCTAATATCCTTTCCTCTAAAGAAAAGAGAGTGCCTGGAAGAAATTCTCCTTTCTGGGGCAGAAACAAGGAGAAGACAGGTTAGAACATCTGACAGAAAGTGAGTACTGGAACAAGTGATGGGCTCATGTTGGTAGAACACAGGATCCGGCAGATCTCATTTGCCAAATCTGGGATAATTTGACCATAAAATATTTACTGACAATAAGAATTATAATTCAATGAATAAAATACAAACCCATAGCCGGGCACCGGTGGCTCATGCCTGTAATGCTAGTTACTCAGGAGCCTGAGATCAGGAGATCTGAGTCCAAAGCCAACCCAAGCAGGAAAGTCTGTGAGACTCTTATTTCCAATTAATCACCAGAAAACCGGAAGTAGCACTGTGGCTCAAGTGGTAGAGCGCTAGCTTTGAGCTGAAGAGTGAGGGACAGCGCCCAGAGTCCAAGCCCCACAACCAGAAAAATAAATAAATAAAAAGCACAAGTTTGT